AGTGTCTGGTACCTAGTAAGTCACCACTAAATGTTAGCTATTATTGTCATTTTTCTTGCGTGCTAGTCACCATCCTGAGTTACAGTATCTCATTTAATCCCTCTTAGCACTCCATTAACTCACCTTTGCAGAGGAGGAAATACAGGTCAGATGGAGGATCAGACTCCAAGTGTGTCTTGTTCTAGAGCCTATGCTGTTTTCTGCTCTGCTCTTTCACAAGCATCTGGTGCCTAGTATGATGCTTAACACAGTAAGTAACCACATTTACTATGTAAACATTACTGTACTTTTTTAGTGCTTTATAAAAGGAGATTAACCAGTGCAGATGCCCAGTGTTATAGATTGGCATGGTGTTTTTGGGTGGGTTTTTTTTTTGGTCTCAGTTCTATAGCCCACAGCTATGGAGCTAGCTAGAGTTTGAGGTGGTCCATGCATGTCCCTGTACAGTCCACACCTGCAGAGAGGCTTGGTGTCTTGGGATGAATAAAGACCTCTTAGCTGGCTGTCCCCCTGGGGTAGGCCTAGGACAGACTCATGATTTGGCTCTTCCCTGCAAGGTCGTTGGCTGGGGACTTGGCCTGTGTTCAGTGGAAAGGTGCCCTGTACTGTGTTTTACTAGACGAGTAATAAGATATTCCTCGCACTTTCACTCCCTCAGGTACAGTTGCCAAACTTTTCTTTCTTCAGAGCCTGAGTATTTTGTCTAAATGGTGAGCTGATTCCCTAAACCTGAAATTTCTGAGAATGAAAGTTATTCCAGGGGGGTTATAAGAACTAAATGAATCATTTTAGGTTTTCCAGGGAGATCAGACATTTGGAGACAAAAACGGCACAAAGAGATCAAAGTACTACATGTAAAAAAAGCATGAGGCACATTGGCCACCCCCATCTGCAGTGCCTTTGCAGCAGGTCTAGTTTTAGACCTGCGCTTTCCTTCCTTTAAGTACTTTACATTCTAGAAACAGTGGGAACCAGGGATCTCAGCATTGCTCTGGTGTCTGAATGGCCAAAATATCCAGATTTCATTTCTTTCTCTGCAACTAAAACTCCTTTTCAGAATCCACAGTGGGCAGTTTCCAGCTCTGTTGGGGGAAATAAGGCATTCTCAGCCAGAGGAAAGGGACTAACAAAGCTGAGGAACCTACTGGCCGTAAAACTCCCCATTTGACCCCATCCTTCTTAAAAATTACTGATCTACAAAGAAATCCATTTCTAACCATCTCAATGTGTACTGAACCAGGAATTGAATGACCTAGAGCAGTGATGGCGAACCTATGACACGCGTGTCAGAGCTGACACGTGAATGCATTTTTTGGTTAATTTTTCTTTGTTAAATGGCATTTAAATATATAAAATAAATATCAAAAATATAAATCTTTGTTTTACTATTGTTGCAAATATCAAAAAATTTTTATATGTGACACGGCACCACAGTTAAGTTAGGGTTTTTCAAAATGCTGACACGCCGAGCTCAAAAGGTTCGCCATCACTGACCTAGGGCTATCCCTAGCTGTCACTAGTTAACTGGGTGACCTTGGAAAAGTCAGTTAACTCATCTGTAAAATGAAGACCAAAACAGATTATCCCAAAGGTTATGTATTGATAGAGCCAAAACTAAAACCCAGCTATTCTGATTTCCTAATCCACTGACCTCTCTCTTCCTTCCTGCCTACCCCCCTAGTCTTTACAGCAATACGAGGCATAGTTTAACCCTGACTG